GGAGAAGACACAGATAAAGGGCGTGTGGCCAGGCTAGTGAGGGGCAGCTGTGGGGTGACTGGAGGGGCCTGGGAGTGAACAGGCTCAGGAAGGTCCCAGAACAGCATTGCAGCCTGGGCGGGGGTATGGGTACCAGGGGGAGGAGTCTGAGGCAGGTGGGTCCTGCAGGAGTGCAGAGGCATAGGCCTCCTTTCCCAAGAAGGGAACCCGAGGCTCAGCTAGACTTCTCTAGCCTCTTGGGTCTCCCTAGCTTTCTGGTACCTCTCCTAGATTAGTGGACCCTCCACTAATCAGCTCTTCTTTTTTACCTTTCTCATTCTGGGTCAGTGACTGCCCAGTAGACTCTATTTCACAATTCAGACACCTCCAAAAGTAAGGTGGTTACTGGGGGTGGTGGTGGCTGTAAGCATCTTGGGGAGTTTCAAACTCACTATGTACCTGCTGGGTAGAGGGAATGGAACTAGAGATCCAACGGGGCTAGCACAGGGCTACGGCCTCAGGGTGGGCTGGCCAGCCCTGCAGGCTCCCTGGGGGCCCTCCCTGCTCTGTGCATGTGGCAGACAGAGAGCTTGAGGCAGCTCCGAATCCCTGTCTAGCATAGTTGGCACAGCCTATGAGGCAAGCCTCGCATTACAGGTGAGGCAACAGGCCGAGCGCCTGGCTCAGGACCCAGAGGCATGCCCAAGCCCGTCTGACACCTCGGGCAGGGTTGTCTCCAGCTGGTTACATTGCCTACCCCAGAAGGGAGGTAAAAAGGGACTTCTGGTAGGAGAGGGTGGGGCAGGGCTGTGTAGCACAGGCATTGGCTCCCGGGTATTCCTGGCGGCTGGCACTGCTGGATGCCAGGCCTGCCCAGATGCCCTCTTGGCTCCCAGTCCCACTCAAGTCTCACAGGCTCAGGCAGAGTTGATGCAACCTCCTGGAGGCTCAAGAGGGTTTTCTGGCCTAAATTATTTATCCTTCATATAGGATTTAGTCTTGAACACAATGGGGGATACTGAGGTCCTGTGTGTGTGTGTGTGTGTGTGTGTGTGTGTGTGTGTGTGTGTGTATGTATGTACGCTCACTACTGGATAGGGAACAAGTAGACAGATGCACAGGAGCCAAGGGATGACCAGGAGGCCCCTGCCCCCACTCGCCCCGTTCTGTGACCCACGGACAAAGATGTTGAACACTGAGCACCTCAGCCCTGACCACTTGACCTGTGTCTTCTCCTTCAGTCTTCTTACCTGTTCCATTGACTCAGCATGGCGTGGAGAGCAGTAGTGTCTGGAGCCGGGGTGCTATGAGGTCCACGGGCTGCCCAAAGCCCCTCCCCCTGGCTCAGCATCTTCTTCCAGAAAGAGGGTCAGGGGGGTCACATGAGGTGCGGCCAGCCATGTGTGACTGGGGACACTTAGTTCTACTGCTGGAGCCTGCGGGTGCTCACAGCCCTCTCCCAGAACGGCCCTAGGATCATTGGATCCCTTGTGCCTCTCTGGAAAGACTGGCTCAAGAGCTGCCCCACCCAGGATGACTCCAGTGTCACCGTCAGCCCTGCTAGATCTCTCCCCCTCTCCCTCTCTCTCCCTCTCTCTCCCTCTCTCTCTCTCTCTCTCTCTCTCTCTCTCTCTCTCTCTCTCTCTCTCTCTCTCTCCCCCTCCCTTTCCTGGCCTATGGCACCGGGCACTCTGCAATTTCTTCTCTGTGTTTCCCCAGCCAGCGTCCCTCCCTGGTCAACAGGGTGTAGCAGTCACTTAGTTTCAAAGCTTCACCCCATCCAGGGCTTGGTGTTCAACGGCAGCATGGGGCCACTGTCCCTCCAGGTCGGTGTCTTTGCCAGGCCTGTAGGTTGGGACTATGGTTGATCTTGAGTCCTGGCCTGCTCTGGGTTGCTCTCCCTTTTCAGAAATGGCCACTGATGCCTTGGGCGCTGACATGTGGTAGGGGCTGGCCCGGCTTCAGATTCTGGTTTCCTTTTGATTTCCAGGAGGGAGGGGGTGTGTGTGTGTGTGTGTGTGTGTGTGTGTGTGTGTGTGTGTGTGTGTAGGAGACAAATCAGAGAAGCCTTTGGGGTGAGAGTGGGCCTGGCCAGGACCCTGGACAGCTCAGCTGAGCCCCACAGAGCCTGCCTGGGATGGTGGGGGCTTTAAAAATGTTGGAAGGAGTTGCCCGGCACCAGGCTGGGGGCAGAATGAGCAGAAGGGACGGTGGAAGGTAACTGTAGTGTGAGGGTTGGCCCCACATCCCAACTTTAGACTAGCTGGACAGGTTTTGAAACCTTCGGAGTACCCCCCTGCCCCATAGTTTTTAGTCCATCAGCTGAAGCTTCCTCCCCTTTGTGGGGAGGCTACCCCTTGCTTGGATCCATGCCAGACTGTTGTAAAAATAAGTCAGCAAGAAGACAGCTGAGAAAATTCTTTAGCAGCCACCACAGAGGGTCCGAGGACAGGAGCACTAACGCTCAAAACCATCTACCAGTGACTTGTAAATGGTAACTCAGAGGGCACCAGTGGCCAGGACCCATCTCCTTGGGAGCCATTGGACCTGGCATTTTAGTCTCTGTAGATAACAGGGGTGGTTTCCCTGCCCAGACACACCTACATCTGGTTCCCACCCAGATTTTCATGGGTCACATGAGGTTAGTACTATGGTATTGAGGGGGCTTCTGTGGCCTGATAGAATCCTACATCTATCTATCTATCTATCTATCTATCTATCTATCTATCTATCTATCTATCTATCTATCTATTTCTCCTCTCTCTCTCTCTCTCTCTCTCTCTCTCTCTCTCTCTCTCTCTCTGTGTGTGTGTGTGTGTGTGTGCATTCAGAGGACAGAGGATGACTGTGGTAGTCGATTCTCTCGTTATGTCCACCATGTGGGTCCTGAGGATCGAACTCAGGTCCTCGGGCTTAGCAGCAAGCACCTTTCCTAGCTGAGACATCTCACTGGCTCACCATGAAATTCTAGCTAGAGATGGATGCAGAGAGCTCCCAAGGTCCTTTCCCCACACGGCGTCATGCTCTCCGTTACACCCTTTTCTCCTCAAGATGAGGAAATGGAGATTTAGACAAACACCAGAATGCCCAAGGTTCCGGACACGTTAGTGAAAAGCTGAGGTTAGAATTCAGATCCCCAGACTTGGTACCTAAAACTGTGACTGTGCTAGGTGCCAGCTGCACTGCCTTGAGGGGGAGGCCACTGATCAACTGTACAGAAGGAGAGATCAAAGTTCTGAGTCACGGCCCTAAGGGACAGAGCAGGAATCTGAGCTTGTGTTCAAGCCAAGGTTCAGGAGTTGGGGAGTGTTCACTGTACAGTGAACTTGGAGGTGAGCAGGATCCATAGCTAGGGGTACCCTTTCCTTCTTAGCCTCTGGATATGGAGGAAGGTCTGAGATGAGGCCTGTGCCATTGAGGTGACCCTTTCCAGGGCGGCTATGTCAGGATCCAGATAGACAGACCTAGGCTAGCAGGGAGAGACTGGCGGTGTCTAAGTGGGGCAGAGAATCCACCTTCTTGCCCTCTCCCTGGGTCTCCAGCACACAGTAGGCACCCAGGAAATGCCTCCCATCAGAACAAGCATCCCTGGCTGGTTCAGTAGTGAGGATCGGGTGGTGTTTCCATCACTCTTCATGAACAAGACCACTGTGTTAGTAAATTTTCCCTTACACAGAATGTCTGCTGTCTGCCCAGATGGGCTGTTCATTTAGGAGCGGGTCTGTCCTGCCCACCCCACGTTCCCCATTCCCTCATCTTTCAGAGCCATTCACTGACATTGAGTGGGCTACAGACCCTGTAGATGCAGCATCAGGTTCTGGGGCCTGACCTCTGGAGGTACTGCCTGGACCAGGAGAGGAGTAGGGGGTTAACTGAGGCAGGGTGTGTGGGTGGTACAGGTGATGACAGATCTTCGGTGGCGAGCTCATACTTGGTTCCGAACCACACGCCGAGTGCCAGGCATACGGTGGATACTCAATAGATGCACGGTAAGAGACGATAATCTGGGAGCTGAGCTCTGGCGGAACCCAGCCTTTGGAGGACAACAGTCACAAGACGCCCAGTGTCTCTCTCTCTCTGCTCTGCTCTTGTCCCCTAAAGGCCATGCCCAGCTGCAGTATTGTTCTTGGCAGGCGGCAGACAGAGTCTGCTGACATCCTGTGCCCCAACCTTCTCTCCCAGATAGGCAGAGCAGTTTTCTAAGGCACGGTGTGGTATTGCAGTCCTAGGAGGAAAGGGGCTCTTCAGAGTGTAGGAGTGAGAGGTGGGGACCCAGTGGGAGAACCTCTGTATCAGTTCCTCCCCCCCCCCCCCCAGCCTTTCCACACCCAGGCCCACGCCCTGTCTGCGATGCCAGAGTGAGCACTATTCAAAAATGCAAGCAAGGCAAGGCAAGGATCCCCAGCCATAACCTTCCATGGCTCCTGAAGAACTCCACGGGCTTAATTTATCCCAGAACCTGACCCTCCTTGGCGTTCTCTATCTTCTAACGCCACAGAGCCTCACCATCCCACCCTGGCTGGGATCCTGGCCTGCACCAGCCTCTATCTAGAAGGTTCTTTCCACCCTGGGCATGCTCTTATCCACTGCCGCATCTGCATCTCCACTTCCAGGAAGCCACCCAGGTAGCTGTCCCCTCCTCCCATGTGTCTCCCTCGGCCTCCCTCTTAAGACTGGGTTCTCCTTCAGAGCAGCCCCAGACCTCAAGTTCCCACAGAGGTGTCCTTGGGGTCTGATGCTAACCATCTGAGAGAGCTGGGTCAGACGAGATGGGCAAGTCGGACGCACAGGCATTGGTTAAGGGGAGTTGGAGGAGCCTCCCTCCTAACTTCCATTATGGGGGAAGGCCCAGGCCAGAGTGGTTCCTGTTTCCTGACCACGCTAGGCCCCTGGGAGGCAGAGGCAAAGAGACCCAGAGGTCTGTCCAGCTTGGGAAGTTTGAGAGGCTGAGGACCCCTGACCCCTGACCAGGGCCTCCCTGAAACCTAGTGCTGGATCCTCTGCCTCCTTGACTGGCTTACCTGCGGTCTCAGGGTTTCTGGGTGAGGCCACTGCAGGCCACCTAGAAGGCCAGAGGTGGGAGACCGGGAGACATAGGGACTCAGCTGGAGGACCCAGGCCTGATCCAGTGTGTGTGTGGAAAGAGGGGGTGTGTGTCTGTGTCTCTCCAGGGACAAGGCACCCCGGTGGTCCCAGGTTGGGGTCCTGGCTATGGAGCGGGTGCCCGGGCACCAGAAAAGAGCCACGCACGCCCCTGCACGCGGTGCCTAGCGTGGCGCGCGGCTCCGGAGGTGAGGGCGCCCCGCCCCGCTCCCCTCTCCCGGCGCTCGGCGGCCGGGGTTGGGGGCTGCGCGGAGAGGGCGCGGGGCGGCCCCTGAGCGGCGGGATGCGGGCTCCGGGCCCGGGAGGGCGCCGAGGCCCCAGGCGCGGCCGGGGTGGCCGGGACCCGGGCGGGAGGGCGCGCGGGGCCGGGGCCCGAGGCCGCGATCGCGCTCCTGCGGGGCCCGTGCGCGCGGGCGGAGCGGCGCGGCGGCGCGCGGGGCCGGGGCGGCGCGGAGCCGGGCGGGGGAGGGGGCGCGGGGAGCCCCCCGCCCCGCGAAGGAGGAGTCTGGCTCCCACTCGCAGCCTCGGCCGCGCGGCGCAGAGGCCCCCGCCCCTGCGCGCCGCCCTCGCGGGAGCCGGGCCCCCGCCGCCCTCCGCGCGCGCTGCTGCTCGCGGCCGCCGAAGAGGAGCCCGGGGCCAGGTAGGACCCGGCCGGGCCGGGAGTGCGCACGGGCCGGGTGCGGGCGGCGGGCCGGAGGGGGCGCGGCCGGGGACCCCGTCCCCGCATCCGGGCGGCCCGTGGCGCCCTCAAAGTTACTTTGGCCGCCTCTGCCTTACCCGGGGCGCGCGGCCCGGGTCGTCCACCGCCGCTGCGCAGCCCGCGGGGCCGGTGCGGGCGGGAGGGGGCTTGGCCAGGCCGTGCGGTCAGCGAAACTTTTCCCAGGCTGGCCGGCTGCCGCTGCCTGCTGTTGGAGTAACCGGTGGAAGGAGAGGGCTGGTGGGGTGCAAGTGATGATGAGGGTGATAACAATAGCCACCCCGGGCTGTGGAGAGCCTACTGTGTGCAGCCAGCCTCTGCTGACACTTGGAGAAGGGGGGTGAGGAGGGGGGCCGAGGGCGGTCAAGTGGCTACTTTTGCTGGGTATTGCTGGGAACTTCACTAACACCCATCTGTCGTCCATCCATCCATCCATCCATCATCTCTCCATCATTCTTCCTTCACTCATTCAACACACTTAACTGTTCTTTGCTGTGTCCCTTCAGGGGATTCGGTGACTAACCAGATAGCACCCAGTCCTCCAGGACAGTATTCCATGGACTGTCCGAGCTGAAAGCCTCTTGTGTGTTTATTTTGGGACATGCTACCAGACAGATTAGGCAGGGGCAGGGGAGCGCTGTTGGGTGAAAGAACCCCGGAGGCCAGTCTTAGGGATTGGAGACCCTCCATCTTCTACCCCCTCCCAACCCTTTGGGTCCAGGCTCAGTGGTTCCTTGGGGTCAGGGCACACCACACTGGAACTGGATGCCATCCCTGTCCAGCTAGCCTGGCATGGATGTTTCTTCCTCACTATTGGGCTGTCCTCTCTCCCCCGGCATCCTTCCAGAAGTGCACCCCCCCTTCCACTTCTTCCCCTGAATGGCTAGGAGGAGAACGAACTGTTAACAATTATAAAATTAAACCCGGGGAAACAAAAGTGAGGCACCATTGAATGATTGGGCTGCTTGCCGGGTATGAATGGTAGTGGCAGACTTGCTAGCAGGGATCAGCTACATTGGTGGGCTGTTGGGGCACTCAGGCACTAACCATGTTAACACCCCAACTGGCCTTGGCCAAAGGAAAATTAAGACAACTTCACTAGTATTTGACACAGGACTAAAAATGCCGTGGGGGGAGGCTGGACAGGTTTTTGGGGTGACTGCTCCATCTCAGCTAGAAGCCAAGGCATTAGGAGACCATCTGGGGAGGGTACCGAGGCAGGGGAGAGCACCAGGCTTTGGAGCCGGTGGTGACAGGGAGGCGTCTGGAGCAAGGCGCGTCTGCAGGGTACTGATCTGTGGGAGCATGCATACTAATCTCTGTACCGCCCGTCTCCCTGCAAATTGGCTTTCCAAGTGGCAGCCCCTCAACACTTATAAAATCTCCTTTTGCTCAAGATGGATTTCAGTGAAATGGTTGCATCTCTCCCAGTTTCCCCGAGAGCTGGAGCAGTGTTAATTGGCTGATGGCCGCTCAAAAGACAAGATATTTAGTCTTGAGAGGCTAATCGTGCGCTTGGAAACGGTGCTGAGTAGGGCTGCCTCCTGATTTACTGCTAAGCTTGAGGAATTTGGGAAGACTTGGGGTGAATTAGATGAGGGTAGGTTCTGGGTAGGATGTGTGAGATGATGTGTCTAAGATGTAAGGACTGTGTGGTGTGCCTAGAACCATTCACACTTACCCAGGCTAATGTCCTGAATTTAGGGACTATTGGACCGGGTCTAGGCTTAGATAGAAGATGATGGTAATTGGGGGGTATTTCTAGTAGGGCCTAGGTTGTTGTATCAGGAGGACACAGTGAGACCCATGGAACCACACTCAAGCAAAGCGGCATTATCAAAATGCCCGGTCTACCCACGGGGCTGCTAAATCTTCATCCATCCAAAGTGAATTCATTAATTCTCTCTTGAACTTGCTACCTGCCCACCCAGGCAGTGGTGGCTGGTTGTCTGTTCATCACTCGCAGGACCCACAGCTCCCCGTGCTGTCTGAAGAATTAGGGATGAAAGGTAGATTTCACTGAAGGAGCACATGGAAGAGGGGAGGGGGGTGAGCTCGGCATACTCTGCAGGTTCTGGACCTATGGAAAGAAGGAAATCATTGCCAAACTGTGGTGAGCTTTTAATCTTTCCAAATGCCTTCACTCTTCTAATCTCGGGCCTGTGAGTGATCATGAATAGCGGGGCAGAGGAAATGAATGGGCCAGGCAAGATTTCCAACAAGTAAATATGACACACAGAAAAACATGCAATTAGTGGAGGTTAGTGAATGCCTTTCAAGTCTTCAGAGCTGCAGTTAAGGGTGGAGTTTTCTCCCTTATCCCGGAACTGTCTGTCAAAATCCTTGAAGTGATAACATGACACGTCTCTCCCATTAACCCTCCCTCACCAGAACAAAAAAGAGTCCTTTGCATGTGGCCGCCCTTCTGCACGCTCTTGTTCCTGGGGTTCTTTCCAGTCAACCTTTGTCTGCACCTCAGAAGAGAAGGGGCCTGAGGCCCTGGCTCTTCTGGGGGCTGAGGCCTAGAAATGGGTTCCCAGACCTGTCCTGATCCACAGAGCGAAGTCGCTGGCCCCTCAGGTGAGAGGCAGGCTTGCTCGTGGGGACTCCTTTCTGCTCCAGTGCTGTGCCCTCTGTGACTAGATACATCTGACACCCAGGGTCCAGGGAGAAAGGCAGGTAAAGGTGGCCCTTTCTGAAGCAAAGATCGTTGAGCATGGGCTGTGCCGGGCATGGAGAAAGCAGTCCACTGCAGCCCGGTGCCTGATGTGCGGCTGTCCACATCTCACCACATCACCCGTTAGCATCGCCCAGAGACTCCCACTGACATTGTTCAGGTTGGGTCTGAAGAGGAGACCAAGAAGTGACAAGCCAAAGCAACTCCCAGGGAAAGAAAGAAAAATAAATAATCAGAAAGCAAGCCCCTCTCTGGAGGTGGCATGGGGCAGAAGCATTTCCAGATTCATTCAGCTCACTTTAGCACTCTCGGTGACCTGGCTGGCCAGTATGTTGCCGACACAAATGATTTTCTTTATTTCAATTTTTCTCCCCCAATGAAAGTAAGCTTAATTACGCTCTGTTTCTATTTTAAACACATGTGGGGCAATCGAAATTTCATCAACCCCCCCCCAAAAAAACCTTAATAAACCAAGATTATGTGTGTTAGTTTAGAACTCAGATAGTGACTTGAGGTAGTTGTGGGTTTCTCTGTGAATTTCTGTTCCATCAACTTGGCCAGTATGTTGTCAGAATGTGATCATTCATGATATACAGAAGCAGTTTCTCCTCCTCCTCCTCCTTTCCTCCTCCTTCTTCTTCTTTTTTAATCTCCTTTCTGGTGGATTGTGATCTCATGCAGCCAGGCCATTGTAGCTTCCTATGCACACCACCCGATGGACACCTGCAAGATTACCCGCCTAGTGCAGCCTCCCCGTTTGCTTCGCCTCCTTCCAAGAGGCCTTGTGGCTCTGCGTTGATGGACTCGGAGGGACTTTCAGCGTCACCATGCTCGTTCTGTCGCTTTGAGGAGAAAATGATGTCTGCTTCCCATTTCCGACAGGCACATCCCTTCCCTTCCCCTCCACTTCATCTCCTTGTGTTTCCCGTACCCAGCTGCAGCCTGCAAAGCTGCATAATACACCGCACTGGCGGCCACTTGAGAAATGCAAGCCCTTCCCTCATGGTGCCTGTTCCTTCCTTTGTAACGAAGTGCGTTTTGGACACTTGGCGTCCGTGGAAAAGGCCAGCGTGCCCTCCCCTACCACACCCACCCCTGGTTTCCTGTGTTTGTCGGGGTAGGAAGTGGGGAATGGAGTTTGGCTTTTTTAGGTTTGTCATTTGGGCACGTTAGTTAATTGATCACACTTTAGAAGTTTAATCCTTAATTACAAATTCCTGAATGAGCACAGAAAGTTAGACCTGAGCTTGTCTCTGAAACAGCCCCCCCCCTTCTCCCCGAGACTCCAACATGGAACCCTGACAGTGCTGATGTGGTTATCCCTCAGAGGCATCTATCAAATCGATTTCTACAAGAGCCTCCCAGCCACAGTTATTTTCTTTGCAAATCGGATTTACATGTGAAGCCACCAAGACCCCCATGCCTCACCCCTACCCCAGCCATATAGGTCCCCAACACCCTCAAGTACTGAGTGTGAGTGGGCACGTGTGTGTGTGTGTGTGTGTGTGTGTGTGTGTGTGTGTGTGTGTGTGTGGTGATGAGACGCAGTGTTGGCTCTCACACACTTAACCCTTGCTTCCTTTTTTGTGTGTGGGAATGTCTGTGCGTGTGTTGGAGCCACATCTAAGCAGCTTCCGACTGCAGCCCTGCAGGTGCCCAGGCCTCCAAGCGTTCTGTTTTGAAAACCAGCACCCAGTACTTTGGGGAAGGAAAAAATGAAATGGGTCCTCTCGCTGTTATTTGCACGATTGTGGGTCTGCTAGATGATGTGGAAGTCTCGAGAATTGCAGTCACTTCTGGAGTGGAGCGCGGATTTTGTAGGCGTGTTTCTTTCTCTGCCTGGGCTGTGTGGCTTCCACCCATCTCAGGTCCCCATCTGTGCGATGGGAATGGAGACTGATCAGGATTCAGGGATGAACCCACCCAATCTCTGTCTTCAGTCAAGGGGATAAGTGAGCAGCCATTTGTGGCAGCCAGGACACGATCCAGTAAGTAGCGCTCGTGATGGTTCTGAAATAAAAGTACAGAATTGGAAAAAGGAAGTGTCACTGACTTGGGGGAGGGGCAGCTGAGGAATTAGAAAGGGGTATTTAAAATCGTGTAGTGCTACATTCAGCATGGGTCCAGCTAAAAGGTTTTTAAGTGGTAAATGCTTTAAAAAGTCGCTTGTGGTTGATCCTATCCTCTCTGGGGCTCAGGGTCTCACTTTCACTCCATCTGTGGATCTCTGCATCCACTCAGCTCCTCAGTGCATTCTGCCAGGATGTGGATGCCAGTTGCCCGCCAAAGTTTCTTGTCAATTGAGACCTACAGTGGATCCAGAGGAAGGCTGGACCCAGGCCCCACTATTGAAGGACCCTGAGAAGCTGGGTTTGATACTCCACTCTCCTCCACGGCCACGGAGCTGTTTCTTTTCCCTTTGAGTTCTTTTCTGTATTTTATTTTATTTTATTATTTTACTTTACGCCTTCTATGATAGTTTCCGTTCAGAACTAGTCAATTGTATATTTTTATGCTCAGACAAAATAGGA